ACACACTGCCTTCAGCAGTCGCTAAGACGACCTTCAACAGCTGCCCCTAGGCTAGTCTCACAGGAGCAAGGAGGAAAACACCGTCAGCCAAGCACCTCGTATCCGTGTTCAAGAAGTTATTCTCAAGGAGAGATTTCGGTGATATTTCTAAGTAAAAGAAATGCAAGTACTAAGAAGAAAATCTCTCTCTACCTAAGGAAGCCTTTGTTCACAAGAGGCGGCATCTGAGTTGGTGGACCTTTGAGGATGATCAGGGGAAGTTTACAAGATGAATAAGTAAAAATCCATTTTAGGCAAAAGAAAAAAAGGCAGTTCTATTACATCAGGCATTAAATACACAGGATGAGGAAGCAGAGGAAGATGTGGCACAAGGAAAAAACTATATTAGAAACATACTCTTAAAAAAAAAAACAAAAAAAAACACACACACAGAAGATGGACTAGGACTAGCCCATCCAGAGTCAGCTTTTTGGAATAACCCTAAGGTGACTCTGAAATTTCAAGGTGATTATCTAAAAGCATGTTTCCCTTAAAGTTTCTCTAACAGGGATAATGTACACAAATAGATTTAATACAAATGAAATAGCTATTGATACCAGGCATATTAAAGCTACCAACCAATTTAAGCAATCTACACATAAAAATTACAGGTATTTGATTTCTCTTATTTTAATGAAAATAAACAAAACAGACCAGAAGGAAGAAGGGCCCAGAGAAAAGAGAAATGGGGAAAGGAAAGGAAAAAGAAAATTTTATATAATAATAATTTGCTAACTTTAGTTGAGCTTAACTTAACAAATTATCAGGGGGAAAAGAGACTTACAGAGTCCTGGGATGCATGATTTACGAACGAAAGGGCCCATGCAAAGTGGCTGACAGCAGATTTCCACTCTACTTAAAACTTCAATCCGATGGCAGTACTGATCATTAGCATATGATCAGTGGAGCAAGTCATGAGCCCACTAAAAAAAAAGGTGAGCTGTTTTTGTTTAGAGGACAAAGGAAAAGCATACAGACATCAGCAAAGGAGATGCAATTCATCAAATGCTACAATAATCCCAGCTGTTAAGAAGCAGGGACAGAGCACGCTGGCGCTGAGGTCTCCTGACCCTCAGAGCTTCCCGTGCTCAACAGGAACAGGCTGCACCTGTGTCTGTCACCTCCCACTCTCCATTCCAGCCACAGATGAGAGCCCCCGTTCTGTCCCCAGCTCCAAGCCGAATGCCTGGCTCAGAAAAGCCTCCACATGTATCAGTGAATTTCAAAGGGAACAGAAAGGAAAACGATGATGTTATAAAACCAAAAATCTTGCTTCTATTTCCGTCCATGAAATGCCACATGCACCTCCCTTTAACTTAGAAGACCCACTGCATTTGTCCAGTACGACTTAAGCCTCATCCGAAATGAACCAGAGAATGTTGCCCACACCCTGGTGTGACCTTAAGGTTGGTTACCAGAGAACTCAGGAGAAAGAAATCAAGGGAAGGAAAAGAATCCCTTATTAGAGGAAAACGGTGTCAGACCATAAATGTGTGACATTAACATAATCCGATAATCAACTCACGATCTAATCAACATGGTCACCACTGTTCTGTGGGTCAAATGGAAGAGGCAGGGAGAGGCTGTGAGCTCATGTTAAAGATGAGGAGACACTTTTAAGTCAAACTCCCAGAAACCTGACAGATGGTCCATCTAAGTAACCTTATCCAGGTAACCTGAATGTCTGTTTGGTTTCTAATTTCTTTTTTGTTTTTCAACTTTATGTCACTCAGCGATCTCTCCTACTATCTTCGAGGACTCTGAGATGCCTGGTGACCCCAAGATGAGAAAAACTGACCTACAACAAGAAGCAAGGAGGACTGTTCACACACAAACATCCCCGTCTTTTT